TGAAATAATACGGAGAACCCTCAGACAGAGTCAGTTTCAAACCAAAATTTCTTCACTATATCAGTTGTTTGGCTGCCATTGACGCATGACCGTAGAAGGAAGTTGGTACGAGCGTGAAAGTGATCGTCGGAATTGGGTTGCGGTATATATACTTTCTGGACAAAGTCAATCAAGGTTAATTAAAGCAAATTAAATTTTAACAAATTACTCAGAATCAGCCAAAAGCAAAATCTGTTCCATTTCCACTGAATTCGACATCGCGTTTTCTAAAATACATTTAAAAATCGATCGTTTTTAGAAATCCTAATAGTTGGAATGCCACGTTACTACCTCTTGCATTCCTTCTGGTGTACTATGCTCTTGACACAATCGACTTTCCCCATAAGGAAACGAATGTTACTTGAGATAATAGATGAAACGGTCAAATTATCAACAGAACGACGCATGAGCGCCACACGCTAGTCAGCAGGGTGCTTTTTATGATATCGTTGAACAGATCGTTGCAGTCGTTGGAATCGACTTCTCATAGAATGGGCAAAAATCAGAAACTTATGTTTCTGGGCGATAAACCGTAAGGATTTAAAAAATACGGCGTTGTAAGACAACATTTGACCTAGAGAATATAATGAGTTTGTTGAAAAGTGATGCTAACGCGTTCCTTTACTGTAAATTTATGAAATAATATTCCACGATAACAAGGCACGGCAAAATTTAAGGGCCTCGCGAAAGATTTTCTCAACGGTCTCGCTCCATGAATTTCTCAATTGTTTGTCGTTCTGTAACTGCGACCTACGACGGTTTCGTAAGTCGCAAATATATGTTGATGTATGCCTATAATAGAAACGAAATTTCAACTGTCGTTCAGCTGTTTTCCTACGTGCTGGAAATTTGGTTAGTCGAAGTCGAGAAATTACGTTTCGTATTGAAAGTTGTTTGTATTGCCGTAACAGTTTGAAACCTTGGTCAAATCACGTTCGGTGAACTCTTCTACATTATTCTTCTTTGTCTTCAATAGTTTTATTCCTAAATAGAATTGAATTTCGTTTCAACCTAGTCAAACAACCTTAGTCAGACTATCCTTCTCGGGAGAGAACGAAGGTGAAGAAACCACCATCGTTAAGGGCTCGAGTGCTGCGCCATTCTTGGGGGGACCACACCGCAGCACGAGGTCTGCAATGAAAAGGCAGAAGTGGAACTACGGTTATGTAGTGGTAGACACAGATTAGAATGTGAGGTAAAAGAAGCCGTCTATTGCCAACAACTTCGCGAGGCCGAGGCTAAGCTGGCTCTTGCAGAGACTGAGTGCAACAGCGATGCAGAAGACGCAGCATACAGGTGCTTCAAGTCAAGCTACAAGGAAAGAGTAGGAACCCATCTACGAGAGAGTGTGCCCAAAGTGAAGTTTAGTAGGTGTGTAAGAGAAACACCTCTACCTAGACATGACAGTCTTCAGGGCTTAGAACTTACGCGGCTAGAACTCATTTCTTTCGATGGAAACGCTACAGAATATTGGTGAGTCAAACGGCAGTTCGACGGCTTTGTTGCTAGACTCTCTTTTTGGGAAGGTAGAAAAGTGGCTCATCTGTTACAATATTGTAAGAGACTATTTCGAGAGGCAATAGAACCGTGCATACTAATGACAGTGAAGGTGAATACCATAAGGCCAGGGAGATACTCGAAAAATGATTCGATCGACCGCACGAAGCAGTCAAGGCTGTAGTAAAGGACGTTTTAGCTAAAACAGCAGAATTGAGTGGAACAGGCGAGGGCCTGAGCAGGCTCAACATTAAATTGCAAAGCTGCTACATGGTCTTAACGGAAATGAAATGTGGATTCGAGTTGGATTTCATACCCTCGCTGGAGTCAATAGTTACACTATTGCCCAGACGCCTACAACGTACGTGGGCCGAATTGGCGGATAGAATCGTATCCAATGGCGGACGGTACCGGTTTATCGACTTTAATGAAATGATAGAAACAGAGTTGAGGATTTAGAACATCCCTTTTGGGGGGCTAGTGGACACAAGGTGTTCACCAGAGGTTAATCGCCCCTGGCGCCCTCGACGTAACACGCATATGAACGTCACTACAACTATTCAAACATCAGAATCATAAAGGAACTTTCAGTACCCTCTGTGTTGGAAATCACACCCACTTACTAAATGTGAAGTTTTCCTCAGGTCGGATGTGGTGGAGAGACAGAAAACGGTTGAGAAATTGAAGCTTCGTTATAATTGAATTAAATGTGGACACCTGGCGCGGGTATGTGAAGAAAATGGTAAATGCTTGGTTGATGGTTGCACCAGCAAGCATCATAGCCCGCTTCACTTGTTGCGTAAAGATCACGGTTGAAGCAATCCGGAAGCCATTCACTAAAAGAGGATTGCCAGCGTATGTTGCTTCTCTGTATGACGCTCTGAGTCTCGTTACACCAACACTTCTGACGGGTAGAGTATTTTTACAAGCACTTCATCGAAAATCCCTTGGATGGGATTACCTAGTAGGTGAGAATGACTGGCGCATTAAGGAACCTTGGGTTAGCGAGGTCAACAAATTGAAGAAACTAAAGGTTTTGAGGTGTATAACGAGTGAAAATCAAGGAGACAGTGAGTCAGCTCAAATGCACATATTCAGTGACACGTCTGAATCAGCTTTTGGGACCGAAGCCTAAGTGAAAGACAGCACGAAAGATAATGTGAAACATCCATTTCATCAAGAACAGAAGACATATGTGGGCAGAATTAAAATTTTAATTCAATTTAATTTAATAAATTTAATTTTAATTCTTTAATAATTTCGCGTGTTCTCATTCAGCTGTAATCGCACATTTATATGATCATGTGAAGCTGGACACGAACTTTTCAGGTTGTGTGCTGCCGTAAGTTGCAGAAGACCCGAGGTTTTTGTACCGTTGTACAAAACTATAGTGAGTCCTCATTAAGAATATTGCGTACAGGCATGGGCGTCTTATTTTAAATGGGAAGAACGGTGTCTTGAGAAACTACAGCGCTTAGCAACTAGAACGCTAGCAGACCAGAAAGACAAGGGATACTTCCAACGACTGCGGGACCTGGACCTGTTCTCCCTGGCCCGCAGGCGCATGCGAGGCGACCTTATAGAGACATTTAAGATTGTCAAAGGGCTTTCGGGTCTAAGGTTCCAAAACGTATTCTCTTTTGTTCCTGCCAGGGCACGAGGGACCATCAAATCAGATTGGGAAGAAGTCATTGTAGACTAAATTTGCGAGCTAGGTTCTTCACAAACAGAGTTATACCACTGTGGAATAAACTACCTGAAGCAGTGGTTACCTGTATTAATGTCGAATCTTTCAAGAGAAGGCTAGATGAATGCTGGGTAGTGATATTCCCTGAGGTTGAGTGTTGAAAGTTAATCGTTAGACTTTACTTTCCGAAATACTATAAGGAATCTGATACTGCACACTAACATTCTGCCTTTCAGAAACTACTATTGACTCGAAGTGTTGGAAGCCAACGAAACCGCCGACAACACAAGAAACTGGACGTGCGATTGGCAGGAGCCACAATTCGTCTTGTGAGAACTGAATTGAACTGATTTGAAAATCGACTCCCGGGTATCATCAAAAAATACGATGGTTCATATATATCAATCTGACGTGCGGTCGACCAAATTGTGCGCTCCCGGTTTAATCGAAATCTTTCTGCGAAATCTTGTCGTACATCGTGGAGTCTACGTTCATTTGATCCTGTTCTGTGAGCGCTATCTTGCGATATCATTCCATTGGAAGTAAATCAGTCATATCTCTCCATTAAACAGTTTTTCTGTTATCATAGAAGCTTTGGGATTTACTCACGCCTGCACAATTGTGCAATTTTATTCGCTGTGTCAACATTGTGATACCGTTTGATAGGAAATTCAACAACGTTTCAACGAGCCCTGATTGACCTTTCTTAGTTTAATTTCAAGCATTCTAAGGATCTGTTTGTGCAGTTCAGTGCAGTCATTTCTGCCAATCGCAGTCGCACTTGTGTCTGCTCCACTGCAGCCAGAAAGGCCGATCGACATTCCCAAAGTAAACCTTGTCATTGTTCTGTGTATGTGTGACATCCACTGATTCGGACAAGCGGACGAAGGAGACAACTTCTCACGCTACACGTGACCCTTTTTTCATATTTCCTCAGTCCCGCAACTCGATAAAGTGCAAAAATGGGACGTCGCAAAGTGCCAACAAGTGCCGCACCAATTGTTTCGACAGCATCGGAAGTATGCGGCCTACGGAGTTGTAATAAAGAAGTTAAAACGGGGATATTTCGCACACTGCCTAGAACACTTTGGCCTTTCATGTGCCAAACTCTTGGTAAAATAGGCAAAACAGTTAGCCACTAAGCTAGAACGTATATGGTTCTGTGCAGAATGTACGGAAATCCCGATTGTAAATTGCATCACTTGTATCACATACAAGTACGAAAAGCTATTGTCAGGAGCCGAAGAAAGAGCGAATTCAAAAATCACTACACTTGAGGCAAAAATAGCAGAATTGAGTTCACGGATCACACCAGCTAGCCCGATCCGGAAACTCAGCGAACGACAATAATGTCCGGCACAAGTGGTCACCCCACGGTAGGGGACGCACACGGCTGAACTGAGCGCGACGACAAAAACAAAAGTTGAAGCACCTGCTACCTCGGAACCCACACACAACCAGTGGTTTCCCTTGTCTGCTTCTTCAGAGATAACATCTCTGCCTGCCAGCTCGTCACTGCCAAAATCTCTCTAACCCCCATAACGCCGGCTTCTATTGTGAAAGTGGCCCCTTCGTATGCAGATGTCATTTCCACACCTCTTAGAGAAGCAGCTCCTGCAGCTGCACCGCAGCAGAAACAACCGGAAAAAAGGCAGGGATATCGTCTGCGGCATCTCCCTCACGGACAGACTCGACTTCCTCGTCCACTTCATCCATGCACGGTGCGTGTAACATGTCACGGACAGTTTAGAGGTGCCCCCACGATTCACAGGAAGTTATGCAGTTGAGGAAGCTCCCTCCGAGATCTCAGTGCCTTATTGTTGTCAATCTTCCGGAAGCCGAGGCCACCACTACCCAGACTCGCCTGGACCACGACCTGCAGCTTCTGAGGTCGCAGGTGGTTACCCACAAGCTGAAGGGAACTCCGGTGCAATTCCTCAGGGATCTTGATCCGGACCAGCGCAGTAAATTGAAAACTGTATTAGAAGAACTCAGGGAGCGCCGTGAAAAAGGGGAAACTGATCTGTGTATACGGGATTTTCACGTGCATCGGAAGCGCCCTCAGTTTCGTTGACTGCCATTGGCCGGGGGGAGGACCCAGGAGACTGTTCAACCACGGACGGGGGGATTAGCTTGAGGCGCGAATGGCGAGGTAATCACGCTGTGCTAGCCTCAACCAATACCCGAGGGTTGCTTGGAAAAAGGGATGAGCTGGAGGACTGGGTTGTATCCCACACTCCCGATCTTTGTGCAATCACTGGGACCTGGCTGACACCGGATGTCCGGGACTCCAAAATATCACTCCACGGATACACAGTGTT